AGATTGATCGTGCACCACACCGATCCACGGGGCATGGCTGAAACGCAGTGAGCAGACTCACTCACTGTCACCTTTGCCCTATGCCACCCTTCCCGCGTCCTCCATCGCGCTCTGCCAGTGGGAGCATTCCCTTGCACTTGTCCATGTCACACTCTCCTGTCGGCGCGTTCTCGTCGAGTGTACGTTCATGTGGACTGTGAACTTTGGAGGTAGGAAACCAGAATCGCGCAGACAGCCAGCACGGATCGAGCGGGCGGAGGGCGAGGAAAAGCTGAAGGAGCGCGGAGCTCTTGTCGCCCCGCGCTGGAAGGGCCATCCCCGAACGGAACGCGCTCTCCCCTCCTCCACCCCTTCTGCCACTCTTCTCCGAATCCCACCCTGCTTATTCCCTCACGCGTGAAAGTGCGACTCGTCCTGCCTTGGCTCTCCTCCCGCTGTACGCGTTCCGATATGCCCAGACACGTGCGGGGGAGCTCAGGCGACGGCCATCCTTGGGCGAATTTTGACGTTGGCCCACACCACACGCATCCTGACTATGGGAGCTTGGGGAGCCCTGCATATGCTTCTTGAACAATGAGCGATGTACTTCCGGGTCCGTGAACGTACGCGCACCCGACCAGAAGGCAGGGCGTGGCCTCTCGAGCTCACGCTCGCTGAAACCATGTGGAGGTCGCCATTAGCATCCGCAGTCTACACTGATTTCGATTCAATACTGCTGTCTCTGGCCCGAGTCGACTCGCACTCGCCGGCTTCACAAGCGGAACTTGACCTCGTCAATTTTGTTGAGTCGCTCGCCCTCGGTGCTTTATGTATTTCCGTTCACTTTCGTTCATGGTCTATTTCTCATGCATCCGTTGTTTTTCTGTAGATGTGCCATGGGACCACTGCTTGAGACTGCTGTCACTCTCAGCTAGTTTCAATTTGGGTGGCTGGCAAATCTTGGCACTCGGTTCTTCCAATTCAGACACAGATGCCTTGGCGGCATGGATTAGGAAGCTGTATGACTGTTCTCACTGGTGACAAGTAGCGACAGTGGGCTTGAGCCTTGCGAGGACTAAATTGGAATGACAAGAGAGTGTTCCGGTGGGAATTGGTGGGAAGATTGGACAGGGTGGTGCTTACTGTTGAGAGGGATGAATCACTGTTGTGAGTGTGTGTTCACCACCGAGGTATGGATGTGTTTGATTGCTAGGTTCTGCCCTGGGTGCTAGTCTTGTTTCCAGATGGTAGGACAATGATGTAGTGGTCTTGAGTTATGGGTGTCAGGGCACCCCATTGGCATAAGAAGTCTTCAAAGATCCATTCCACTATGGCTTTTGATGTTTTGTTCTGAAGCATCCTAAACTTGGGATATTGTGTCAGTGAACATTGACCTTGTATGAGATACTTATATCCACCTGAAGCCAGCATGTACATCATGTTGATATGTACCTTTGTGAAAATCAGAGCTGGTGTCGTGACAACTGGGGGTATCAGGATCTGTTGGACTTGTCTTTGCTAGCAGAGGTGACAACTTCACACAAACCATGTGATATCGGCATTGTGGTTTGGCCACCAGAATTGCTCAGAGACCAGTGATCGAGTCACAAAGATGCCTTGATGGCCCTGTTACAGTGTTGGAGAGAGGGGGGTTCTTTTTCTTTTCCTAAACTATTTATTGTTGACCCTGTAACTGTGCAACTGATCCCATCAACCTGATGCATTTCACCTACATCAGGGTTTCATATCTATTATGTTTTACCTATATCACATTTCACTTATATCATGTTTCATCTCTATCATGTTTCATCTTTATCACTGATACAACCCAGTAAAACCTGTTTCATATACATCACTGATC